AGCACTCAGCAGAACGTCCATCACCTTGTTCTGCATTTCAAAGTTGTGATGTGTGGCTTTTAAGGGAATGTAAGTGCGTGGGCACGTGTGGGTTTTGGAGAGAAGCATTACTCAGCAGTTCGGACTTCTCCTTCCTATTCGTTCTAAAGATGTGTGTATGTGGTGTGGGAATGTGACGTGCGTGTGACAAATGTGATCACGGTCCACCGCCTGCGCCCAGAAATCAGTACAGCACAGGTCGTTTGTCTTCCTCTTCATTCAAAGGTTGCGAGTGTGTGTTGAGATATGTGGAATGTATCGCAGGACCGTGAGTGGGGGCTGTATGTGTGTGTGTGGGGGGGGTATGCCGTGGGTGGGTAAAAGGTATGGAGTTAATGCGTCGACATGACGGTGGCGGAGAGAGGCGTGGATGTGTATCGTGGGGTGTGGCGATTTTTGCATGGATGACTGAGGCAAGGGTTCACTGAGCATGGATAACTGACGGTCAGGTGTGTGTGTCGTGAGAATGTGTGGCATATGTGTGGAAGTGTAGCGTGGGTGTATGAACTGGTTACTTTGAAGTTTGATGTAGGTGTGCGGGAAGTTTGCGTTTGTGTGAGAGTGTAATGCGCGCGCGCGCGCGCGCGTGTGTGTGTGTGTGTGCGTGTGCGCGTGTGCGTGTGTGTGTGCGTGTGTGTGTGTGTGAGGTATTGGAGTGTGCCTTGGGAGTGTGGGAGTGCGGCGTAGATGTGTCTGGGTGAGGTGTGTTCCACTAACCTGGGCTGTGAAGAGCGCGGGCAGGCGCAGTCGTTCTGCCAGGGACGAGTCCGGGAAGCCCACGACGATGGACGGTGGGTTGAAAACCGGCGTGTTGTCGTTGATGTCCACAATTTCCACCAGAACCACTGTAGAGCGCGGGTCGTGCGCCACGTCTCCCAGCATTTTCGTCCTGCACACGCACACGCAACCTTAGGTAAATCCTAAAAGTTGCTTAGTAGCGTCCTGCGACGTCGACGTAGAGAGTTGCTGCAGGCAGATGAATTCGGCATTGGGCCCGTAATGGATGCGGTGTCAGTCAGTAAATTGACGTTAATTCCAGTTATTTGCCTTAACACTTTAATCTGACTATCTATTTGGCGTTGGCCTGCCCTCATCCCTGCTGTGATCTATTGGCGTTTAAAATGTATTTTTGTTTTAAATTGGGCAATGTTTTAGTTGGACGGTTCCTCCTAGTAGAATAGGAGGACTTTAAATATCATAGAATCTAAAAACCTCGCTCTACAATCATTAGTTGAAAAAATTGGGGCCGCATTCAGGAAACTTACGGTTTAGCGTTTCTGAATGTACGCATTTAAGTTCATTGTCACATAAAACTTTGGAAATTTCAATAACTTTTATCAGAAATAATTTGAAGTATTTTTCAGTCTAAATTTAGTAGTGTGTAAGAAACGCCCGTAGTGTAAATTTTGACGTCGTTAGAGATGTATAAGAAATACATTTGTGTAATTTTTAAAAAATGAAAGAATACACATCAACGTGGCGTTTAATATAATGTTATTCAGTGCATTTAGCACTAACAAAAAATTGGAGCAGTTTTCAAGAAATTAGTGTTTGAGGTTTTTTAAAAATGCTCAATTTTCAGCTTATTTTTGTATAATTTTAATGACGTGGGAGGTATTAAAAAATACCTTTGTGTAGTGTTTGAAAAATTGAAGGAATACATCAAAATGGGATAAATACCATAAATGTAATTCAGTGCAGTTAGTAAAATCCTTACAAAAAGTTTTAAGAACACACTAGAATCCGTTTTTGAGTAAATGTCTGTGTATTTCTGAAAATGTAGAATATTGAGCTCAATTTCACCGAAAACTTTTGAATTTTAGACAGACATTGTCAGACTTCATTTGAAGTAATTGTATTCAACAATACAATAATGTAATAAAAAAACCGTAATGTGAATATTAAGAACATGGGTGTCACATAAAGACAATTGCATTTGTATAAGATTTGAAAAATTTAAATAATGTTTGTTATTCCGTGAAATTTTAACAAATTCACTATCCGCAAAATTTTAACAAAAAATGTGCAATTTTCGATAATTTATATATTTTAACAAAATTTATATATTTGGGATTATAAAATCGTTCGTGGGCTGGAACAGTGACACAACTCAAAATATCAGGTGTTGAGATAAATGAATTTGAAACTTTCACCTTGCATTGAAACGCATCATTCTTCCATTCCAACTTCTACCTTTTGTTGGTAGCTATAAATGTTTTGCTACAAAATACGCTGCTGTTGCTTCTGGAAAGTAGACGAATCTGCGATTGTTTGTATATTTCGAGTTGTGTGTCTATTGCGGCGCTGTAATATGTTCCCTGCAACGACGCCTCTCGCTTGTTCGCTCACCAGTTGCCGTAGTCGCTGCCGGCGCGGGCGACGGGGGGCGCACGGGCGGCGTCGCCGTCGCAGCTCATGTGCACCCACAGGCGCAGCACGGGGGCCTCCGCGCCGTCGAACGCCGCGTCCTCGCGGTCCACGGCCCGCATCCTCGCGGCGCCCGTCCGCGCGTCCACGTCGAAGTACTCTGCGCAGGGAGGGCTCGTTGTAGCAAAACCTGATTGCTTGATTACTTGTGACGTGTCAACAGTTAAGTTCATTATTCCCGTAAACGCACTGTTTGCTTTATCGTGGGAGGTGGTGGTGATGACCACACCCGCTGAATGGCGAGATCCGGCGCCGACCTACCGTAGGCTTTTCCCCAACCAGGTGTCTCCCACCAGCGGGGCACCGCCCTAAGCTCCTGACCGGTCTCCCGGCGTGTGGAGTAGTGCAGTGTACATAAGTGTGTGTGTAAGGGGTGAGGTTAGGACAAGGAAGAGGAAAGAAAGATTGCGCGCGGTCAGTGACCTGTTTGTTGGGGTACTGCTCCGGCATTCGCCCGGTGTAGAGCAGAGAAATCATGGAAAACTACCCATCAGAGCTGCTAGTATTCTCCTAGGGCCAGAGACTGAACTCGACATAACTTTATCTAGTGTCAAAAATCCTACCACCGTCAGGGTTCGGACATAGGACCTCCCGGGCAGAGGCTCTGCACTGTCATCGATTACTTCGATACATCAACAAAAGGTTTTGGATATCGATGAAAACATCGTCAAAAACTTAGATATTTAAAATACCTATTTTTTAATTATGATGAAACATGTGGAAGTAAAATTTTGCTAATGTGATACTTAACACGTCAGTATTAGCTTAAAGAATGTTTTGCCTTAACTTTGACTGTTAATATTAATCGATGTTATATGTAGGGAAGGTCAAATTTCATTTTACCGCTATTACCAGATTCAAAATATAAAAACAGGTAACACCACTGGAGAAATGTGGCGAAGAGCAAGTGGTGTCATGTCGCCTGGAGATCAACAACAGTGACAGTTATCAGTGGCTGTTGATTGCGAGCAATCCACAAATAAAATACATATTGGAAACTTTATTTGAAATCATGAGAATGTTTTTTAAAACATCGATCTTTCTGGACAAATGCATCGATCTGAAGAAAACGTTCGAAGCAAATCATCGATGTTATAACATAGATGATTCTGCTCGAAAATATCGATGTTTTAAAAACTATTGCTCCTGCCTCCGCCACTCGCACAGCGCAGTCCACGCGTGTTTACGACCTTAGCCGTGGATTGCGGGGAGTGAAGGTAGCCACGTCGTCTTGTGTAATTTTATAAGACACTCAAATATAAAAATATGTTCACATCTATGCCAATGAATTTCATCACGAAGGAAAAACTTCTGGGAAAACGTTAGCAAAAATATGTGAAGGAAGTCCTGTACATTTCTAAGGGTCTGTTATGACGTTTACCGTACAGTTTTCGTTTAACTCCATTTTGCGGATATTAGATCCTTCACCGAATTTAAAATATTACATTTAGTAGTAATTCTAAACAGTAATTCCAAATTGTACTATTATACTGATTGTGCCTGGCGGTTTGTGGTCGAATGTGGTCCAATAATTTTGTATTATCGTAATCTGCCCTCAACTGTTCAAAATACTACTTCTTGTATTCATTTTTGGTGCTAATTGAAAACGCCCACCAATAAATTGAGAGTATCGAAGCCACAAGTGTCTGCTAACAAATGACCGTCTAAGATATTTACTGCCGTGTTTTTTTCGCATTCCGCCCTCGGGAGACGCGAAGCCCTTGAGGTGCGCGCGAGAACGGGGGAGGGGGGTGCTTACCTTGTCCGGAGAGCGCCGAGAAGGTGCAGTCTTGGACGGGCATCGCTCTCAGCACATCTTGTGCGATGTGCTCGTTTATCCACTGCACGCTGACCGCGTGCGTGAAGCACACTTCACCGCCGTCTTCGTTGCACTCAACGCCGGCCGGCCCCATCACCAGCAGCTGCGTGATTCACATTCATATTCAGAACGGTTACACGGATAAAGGCCCATTTCCAATGCAAACGTAAACATAAGCATAACACATAGACGTAAACATTAAGATAAGAAATATACTGAAGTATTCACAATGTTTGACATAAACGTAAGCAACATAAGAGTTTCTATTGGCTCTGAGACATTCTAGTTTACTATTGGATACGAGAATTGATTTCGAGATATCGACTGTTCTCATGGCCCTAATGGCGTTTGTTCGTCTATCGATACTCATATTTCGTTTCTCGATTTTGAGTTACCGTACTGTGGTTGGTTCATTTCTTATGTCTTACTTACGCATAAGTACAGAAGCTTCACGCTGGCAAGCTTTTAAGGTAGCGTCTTACGTGTTATGCTTTTGCAAACGCATTGTGAATGAGTCCGCTTATGGAAGTAGTCCTAACTTTTATGTTAACGCATGCTTATGTTTAAGTTCGAATTGTGAATAGGACTTAATATATTTTGGTGCACAAAATGACAACATTTACATACGTATTTGAAAGTCAAGGATACTCAGTTGTTGATGGAGAGACTAACTGTGAGGTTTACTAAATTTGTGTATTAACACTGTGTAATTGACATATTTTTGAGAACCATTTGAAAATATTTCGGTAATTTTTGGTGACAGCGGTGAATACAAATATTTTCAAAGCATTCTTACAACTCTGAAATGACTCACGAAACTTAGAAACGCCCAAAATAATCGGAACGTTTCCTTGATGTTCGCCTTGACGGCAATGTCTGACACTCGTGTCCAAATGAGGTAGGCTGCTTTTCTTATCTTCAAAAACGAACCTTGTGTTCTACCGCTTCCGTGTGAATTGGGAGGAAATGTTTTTCCTGCATCGAACTCGTGACTTGTGGTTTTCAACGTTTAATTAATACATTTCTTTGACAGATTACGCGAATTTCTTAGATTATTCTGTCACATGTCAAAGTTTTAATTTCCAGCCTCTTTATTAACCTATGGCACGGACCTTGTAACTTAGTGAGTTGGTATTCAGAGGCAGGTTCAAACTCTCTAGTGTTTCATTCAAATCAACCGTTTCATGGTTGGATGTCTCACACCAGCTGCCTATGGTATTTACCACAGGCACTGTACTCCGGTCAAAAAGTAATATTTACCGTGAATTATTAGATGATTTTTGCCAGAGGGTTTGGAAATATTGGGGGGCGGCCGCCGCGATCTTTGACATATTCTCATTCCCTTCAACCCCGAGTCCAACCGGAGACGAGCTGCATTAACTCGGCAGGCCTGACCTCCCCTGGCACTAACGCTCACCACGGAGAGCTTTAGGAAACCGAGGAGGCGTTTCTAACGCTCCATCTGAGAAAAAAATTACGTCTATCCCTCCTCCTATGGGGATCAAACTGGTAATTTATTAATTGAAGTTTCAGTTCATGCGGTGATGACTGCCATTACAATATTGAATGCTTTATGCAGGGATGTGGGGGAGCTGCTTCCTCTGGATGGTGAGGTTTGGTGGCGACCTACACGTCTGCATGCGGTGTTTCCCGGCCAAATTTTTCCCGCCAACTGGGTCATGCTCTAAACTAAGGATGTCGATAAGACAAGGAAGATGAAGAAAATATCGCGCGCTGTTCGTGGCCCATTTATTAAGGTACTTCTCCGGCGCGTGGTTTAGATCGGGGAAACCAAGGACCACGCGCTACCTCTTCATTGTCCTATTCTCACTTCTTACTTACATACACTTACACTACCATGCACTACACTACCACACATGTTGGGAGACCGGTCTAGGGTTTAGAGCTCGTCTCGACATGCGGTGCCCCTCTGGTGGGAGATACCTGGTTGGGGGAAAACCTCGCTAGCCGACGGTAGGCCTACCGGGATCACCCCATTCAGCAAGGGAAGATATCTAGGACAATCATGGACAACACTTACGGGACGAATGACTCTCGTAGTGGACGCGCCCGGAATTAGTAACAATCAATCAACGTAACGGTAGTGTTAAACGCAACCTTTTCTAGAGCGAGCTCTCACCTGCGCGTAGGCCGAATGTGCGCCGGGGGCGGAGGCGACGATGCGGTAGAGGAAGGTGCCGGCGGGCGGTGGCGACACGCGCAGCGTCACGGCGCCGCTGATCGCGTTCATGTCCAGCAGCCCCAGCGGCGACGCCTCCCACTCTGCCACAGCACACACACACGAGCGCTCACACACGTCGCCGTCACAGGGACCACCTCCCGAGTGCGCCTGCCTCGCGTTCCTCCAATCCTTCGTGCGTTATCCATCCGGGCAGACGTTGTTCTGTCTCTCTCTCTTTCTCTCTCTCTCTTTCTGTCCCTGTCTGTCTGAGTCTGTGTGACTCTCCCTGACTCCTCTCCCCGTCTCTCTATCCCCGTCCATTCCTTTCTTGGTCTCTCCATGTTTCTCGTCCTCGCCCTGCACCCTCGCCTACGTTCATGGGCAACTTGCCCTGACTGCGCAATCATTTCCCCTTAAACTGCAGAAAGGGGTGTATTGCGCAAGCTGAAGAGGCGCGAGGCGGTGAATAGTGGCTTCATACGAAATTATGTTTGCGAGATTTTTTCTATCAAATAGCCGAGGATAGTATTATGTTTATATTCTTCACTACTAATTTCTATTTGATGTTCATTTCCTTACTGAATTCTCCCTTTTATAAACGTCTTGGCTAAGTGGCCGGAATATATTTGAAAGGCTAATTCTTTTCTTGTTTTCGTTTTGTTGTGTTCATCATTCAGTTATTTATTATATTTAACTGTAACGCGCAATAAATTAACAAGCCTCTAAAAGTTAACAGTTCTCGCTTACGGACAGACTGCGTTTTTCGAGGCAAGAATATTTGTCTTTTAAACTTTCTAACCTAAACGTAGAAAGTTCATGCTTTCACATCACTCTCATGTAAATAGGATCACAAAATGAAGATACTTTTGATGACTTGAATTTTTTTAAATTTTAGTTGAGAATTTAAAATCAGACATGCATTATTTTTTTAATGGGTCATTTATTTGCCTTAAATAGAAAATAGGAATTACTATACTTAAATTTGTGACAACGACTATCAAGTATCTTTTCCCAAAAAACTGTCAAGGGTTCAATGACCGCTATTCCGTAGCATTTGTACAAGCCTTACTGTACATTTTGCGCCAATTTCTCTGAAGGCAGAGCCCGCGAGCTCCAGTAAGCTTGACACCTTGCCCGCGGCCTTGATCCCTGGTTTAAACATTAGCAACCTTGATAGTCACACGATGGCACTGACCACTAGAGTTCGGAAGCATTTTATAATTTATGATGAGGACACCTATCATTTGAACGGGAAGGGAATGGAGATCCTGGGAAGAATTCGGGTGCAGCAATCTACAATAAAACCCCAAACCTCAAGCAGGATGCGAACTCAGAGCCTTGCTGGAATGCGGACTCCGGCGCACCCGCGTCACGAGGCCTGCCTTATCTCCGTCGCGCGTGGCCTTATCCGCCGCCCATCGCTGATAAGGCGCGCCTTCCCAGGATTTGTGCTCCGTTTGCGCGTCGCTCACCGGCGCAGCAGCGCAGCGCACGCCGCCCCTTGGCATCGCGAGGCGACGCGCGGAGAGCAATTGCCCAGTCCACCAACTTACGCCTCTGCCTGGATTTCCTTAATCACAACACAATGTTTTTGGCCGGGGTCAGCTTGATTAAGTTGACCTTCGGATACACTTACCTGAAATCTACGCTGCTGTGCAAGTGCAGTAGTAGTTGAGATCACACATTGTCTATCATGCATGTACAAGTTGTTAAATAGCACACTGGCATTCTGAGTATTACAATCGAAGATGGTTAATGTTTTTTATCTTTTATGAATAAAGGATTTTCTACTAAACCTACCTTAAATACTCATTCTCTAAACAAAATGTCTAAATATCTTTTTAAATGAGCATGTCAACCTTTTTTGAGCGAGAAAAAAAAACTTATTAACTTGGAGAGAAGTTGCGCTTGCCTACCATAAGGTATCCCTTGTAAGTGAGCCCCTGTGAAACTGTTACATCAAGAACGGCATGTAGACTCAAAATATTTAAAATAAGAAAGTTACATATAAGAAAGTCTTTCGAAACTAGATATTTTCACTATCCATTACGGTTTTCGTTCTATAATCTTATCGCTAATACACTTGTAGGTGACGAAAATGATATGTTTCTTTCATAAAATCGAGTCAGTAGTTCGTTACTATGAATCACTCACAAATTTGTACTAAATAATAATGATTACAAAAAATATGTTGTTCCTCTGCCTTTAAAAAATATTCTGTTATAATTTATGAATATTCTAAGAACTTACTAGGGACATTTGATTGAAGTTGTACTTTTCCAATAGAAATTAAGTTCCTTTAAACAATTAGTATTCCTACATGAAATTAACCTCTAACTTAATACTGATTCGATACGATGTGTTTGTCTTTCAATTTTGAATAACCAAGATTCACCACATGTATTTATTTACCGTTCGTCTTAGCAACTACAGTTTTAGTAATGAGATATTACTATAATTTTAAGAACAGTTATTAAAAACATTACAAAGCTTTAATCAATTATTTTCATCGAGGAAATAAATAAGTTGCGCTTTTAGATCTCTTCCGCCTCAAAATGAAAGATCCAGAGACGGAGAGAATCACATTCTTACAATGCAGACTCTTCCTCCGGGAGTTTGGAAGTCGAAGAAGGGCCATAAGGAGGGGGAGGGGTACAGACGAGTGGAATGGAGGTGTGGGATGAGAGGGAGAAGCGACGGGAAAGGGTGAGAAGGAGTGAGGCGAAAGGGAGGTGAGGGGGAATGGGTGAGAAGAGAGCAGCAAAAGGGAGGTAAGGGAGAAAGGGTGAGAGGGCGGGGGCGAAAAGGGCTTGTGAGGGGAATGGGTGAGAGGGAATGGAGTTGAGGAGTGGGGCCGGAAGGGAGGTGAGGGGGATGGGTTGAGTAAGAGAGCAAGCAAAAAGGAGGTTAAGGGTGAAGGGGGCGGGGGCGGAAAGGGTTGTGAGGGGGAAATCGGTGGAGAGGGAATGGGTGAAGAGGGTGGAGCAAAAAGGGCGGTGAAAGAGGGGGAAATGGGTGGAGACGAGAGGAGTTAAAGGGAGTTGAGGGGAATGGTGCGGGGGAAGGGGGCGAAAGGGGCGGTGAGGGGATTGGTTGAGAGGCAGCGCTGGGCGGCCGAAATGCTTAAGCCCTTCTCGAGGGAGAAGCGCGACGCCGTGACGGCGTCTTGTTGGCCCAGCAGCGGGCTTGCGCCACGAGCTCGCCCGTGCGGGTCGTCCGCGGGTTCAGGGAGCTTGGAGTACCTGGTCTTGTTTCGAAAGCCGCCAAGCCTCCTTCTGCCGGTGGCTTCCCCGGCGTCCCCGCGCACGCGTCTTTGCCTCAAGACTCTTGTTCCCCCGATTCCACCACCTCCGCACGAGCGCGCGCCGCGTGGCCCCACACACGTGGTCTCGGGGGCGTTATCGTCCAAGGGAATAAAATTTATTTTATGCGTATATAATAAATTAATATGTTTTTATATTAGTTAAATGAAATCTACATGTGCATTCATTTAACAAAAGCATTATCCAATTCCTGGCCATACAAATGAAAAACAATTATCAACATTCTTGCATCAACACTTCAAATTAATTACAATAGTCCTGACACCAGGTGCTCAAAAAGGGCCGACAATCTAGAAATTACGGATTTTTTCTTAGAGGTTCAGTATGTTACTTTTGTACTCGATTTTTGCGCCTAATGTGTTTTTACAAAACTAAAGTTTATCAACTTTGAATTTGTAAATAGCTATTTCATTAAAACGGTCAGTTTTTGAGGTGAAGCGAAAAACTGAAAAAATGTGTATATATCCTTATAATACTTATCTGTTTTGAGGTTAAATATAACATTCGAATTCAGCCCTCCCCCCCCGAACATAGAACCATTGAGAAAAAACCTAGGAGTTACCTAGTATCTGGACTACAAAACCAATTGAATGTTTTTCAAAATAGAGAAGTATCCTCAAAACAGAAATGTATTAATGTAAATTATACTAAGACTTAAAGTGAGAATGTCATTGTCAACTAGTTATAATAATCAAAATTACAACAAATTCAAAAACGTATTCTAAATATATTAAATGATTCAGTTCTGTTTATATGAGATTTCATTTCGTTTTCTTTAAAACTACTTTATTGATTCATTCGTTTGTTTCTCATGAAATTAAATCTTTAAAGGGACGTAGTACTTGCATTTTTTCTATCAATGTGTCACTACTAAAAAAAATGGAAACCAAATCTCTAATTAGAGCCAACAAATATCTTTAACATTTAAATTGTGGACATTATTCCCATTCAGAATAATTTATATTCTTCCAAGTTATTATAATAACTTGGAAGAATATATTTTATAACGAAAACTTAGTCTTTTTCTTACTTAATCTAATATTTTACGTGTTCACCAGGACAAAATCAAGCAATATGACATGCACTAAGCGAACGCAAAAAATGAACCCATCTCCTCCACAACACAAAAGCAGAACTATTTAATCGCTACAAACAAAGAACTTAGACATACGATGGTCTGGAAAAATTAGGACGCGGCGAATGATGTCAAGGCATTCAGTGCAGGGCAGATATTAGAAACCATGAGACATTTGCGAAAAACTGCATTTTCAGGACGTGGATTTATTCATGGTTTTCTCATTAGCATAATATTTCTTCCAAAAACGATCAGTAGGAAATTAAAAAATGTATGACATCGTATTCTAGTGTAATGTGTGCCATGTTTTTGAACAAAAGATCTGATATATTTAAGCAAATTATAATTTTAGTTTGACCTAAATAGCTGAAATTAATTATGAAGTCATTTACAGACTTAAAGAGTTAATAACTCATATTAATTGTGCCTAAAATGTTTCTTTTGAGCATTAATTTAAAATGGATATTTCCCCTGTTACTGATTTTTTTAATTTTTGGTTTTCTTCTTTATATTCAAATAAGCATCAAACAGATATTGAAGTACAAATATAACTTTATGCGTATTATGCATTTCTAAGAATATAACCTTTAAATCAATAAATATCATATTGTATCTAAGGAATATCTACTCAAACTTTACCTTTTATGAATTTATTTTAGGCGCCTGAAATATGATATTTTAGAGTCTAATAATCCAATAT